AGGCAGTCCTGGAACATCTGCTTGGCCACGGCCAGCACGCCGGCGAAGACGTTGCCCGAGCCGCACGGGTACTCGGCGAAGAGCTTCAGCTCGTACTCGTAGCCCGGCCGGGCGGCAGCGTCGAAGGCGAAGATGCGCCCGGTGAGCGAGTGGTCCTTCTTGAAGCGCACCGTGAAGGGGGCGCAGCCGCACAGCGCCAGCAGCTGCTCCCGCACCGGCTTGGGCTTGCCGTGCCACTCCTCGGCGCGGGCCCGCATGGCCTCGTTCAGCTCGGCCAGGCACTCGCTGTGCCGCGCCTTCTCCTTCTCGTACTCGTAGCCCGCCCGCGACGCCGGCTTGGCTAGCTCGCCCAGCAGCGGCGAGGCCAGAGGCAGCGGGCCCGGCGCGGGACGCACGGCCGCCGCCAGCATCAGCCCCGGCGGAGGCACCAGGCCGGGCGGCGCGGGACCCACCAGAGCGCGCCGGGCCGTCGGGCTCTGCCGGCTGCCTTCGCCGCCGCCTACCTCCTCGCCGCCGCGGGCCAGGCCGTTGGGCAAGCGCGGGCTGAGTGCGTAGTCGGGGCCGGCCAGGCGGGCTCGCTCGTAGCGCTCCAGCCCGGTCCCTCCTCCGCCGTCCTTGGCCTGCTTGGCGCCCGGCGGCCCCGGCGATCGGCCCTCGGGCATGGCGTGGCTGCGCTTGAGCTGCCGCGCCGTCTCGATCAGCAGCTCGATGCGATCGGCGCCCTCGAAGTTGACGCAGCCCCGGCAGACGGCCTCGCTGAAGTCCCAGATCATGGCCCAGGGCATCTTGGGCAGGTCGCACAAGTAGCACCATTGTCTGCGGGACGCCTGCACCGAAGACATCTTGGCCGCCGCCCCGCCTGCCTGCGCCGGGCCCCCCCGACGCCGAAACGCCGACGAAACAACCGGCCCGGCAAGGGGGGGGGGGAAGCTGGGCCGCGCGCCTGGGAAGCGGTTTAGTACGGGGCGGGGGAAGGAGGCAGGCAGGCAGGCAGGCAGGCAGACGAGGCGAAGAGGGAGGAAAAAAAGGGGGGGGAATCCCCTCTCTCGCCTACCCTCCTACATGGAGAAACTTACATAAGTCCCTCGCGAAGCCTGTCGGGAGATGGAGTCCTGGAACTGGAAGGAAGCAGTCTGGGTTTGCGCTGGGGAGAGGTGGGGCTCTTAAAGGCAACCTGGCCCCGCTGCGGTCTTGATGGCAGCCGAGGTGCGGCTGTCCCGGGCGGATTGCGGAGGCTTTGCAAAATTGAGGATGGCTTTGGAGCCTCGCTCAGCCAGATGTCTCACAATGCTGAGGGACTACAGTTCCCATCTTTCCCAAGGCATGTCACAGGGAATCGGGGTGATCTCAAAGAGAAAAAGAGGTGCTTGGATGACCGGTTGCACTAAAATAGGGCGTCTCCAAACCGGGTCACTTTTTAAGACGTGTGGACTTCAACTCCCAGAATTCCCCAGCAGACATGCAGCTATCTGGCTGGCTGGGGGATTCTGGGAGTTGAAGTCCACAAGTCTTAAAGTGGCCAAAGTGTAGGGACCCCTTAAGAGGGTAGTAGGAGTGGGTTGCCCAACTCTAATGCTGCCTGAGTGTTGCATTGGGGTTTAGTACAATAGCTGCATTAGCCAGGGATGATGGAAGCAGCCGCCATTCCACAGGGAGGATCGAGTGGACAACCAGCAGCATCCCATAATATCATTGCACCCCTGTCCATCTTCCGCAGATGTGTTCTTTTGGTCCCAAAGCTATATTGATTAAAGCAGGTAAGTCTCATGGTGAGATGGGCAGCAAACTAATTTAATAAATAACAAAGGAATAAATGAATTGGGGGTGTCAATATTAAAACAATTTATTTTCCCCAGGAACTGAGAATCTCCCACTTTCTCCCTTTCCTGCCTTTGCCCTCACATTCCAGATGTTCCAGATGCCCAAATATTGTTCCTCAACCATAGCAGGAGGACTGATTCAGATAACCACTTTCCCTGTAAATCAGACATTTAATTTTCAACTTTTATCATGGGTGGTCCTGCCTCCACTGCTTTTTGGGGTGCAGGTGGAGGTTCCGAGGCCCAGGATGTCTCTGCTGCCCCTCCAAAAGCTGTTCCTGCCTTTCCTACCTAGCATATCCAAGATCCAAGAAAGAGTTAACTGGGCTTTTCAGTGTCAAGGAAAAGGAAAATACATTACCCACTTGGCAAAGCGGCTTGAAAGCCCGGATGTTGGGCTGTGGTGTATTTCCGGCTGTTCGACTTCCTCTTTGTTTTTTTTTTCTTTTGCAAATCACCCTCCCCCTCCCCTGCAGTTCAAAGTTCAACTTTAGGGGGTGCTCCTAAGGGGGTTCTTGACAGGCAGGGAGGGGGGGAAAACCCACCATAAAATCCACAAGGAAGAGGCAAAGGGCCTCATTCCTTTTTGCCCAGCCAGAGCGAGTTCCAGGGTTAACTTTCAGCCAGGGAGTTGCAACGATTAATGAAGAGAATGTGGTTAGCGTATAGAGAATAAATCCCATTTTAACCCAGTGTTTGAAGATCTGGGGACTTCAACTCCCAGAATTCCCCTAGACTCCCCAATATCTGAAATCCCTACGCCCTGCAAGATTGGCATGAGTGGTGGCAGTTGGCAGGACCCAGAAACCCCCATGGGGGATGCAAAGAGGGCAGGTGTTATTTGAGCAGGCATTCCTTCCCTTCCAGACATCAAGGCAGCCATGCAAAAATCCCTTGTGGCCTTTTATTTGTGATCAACCACCAATTTTTCTCTTTCCCAGTTGTTTTTTTTACACCCAACCTTGTGGGTCTCTGGAAAGAGCACTCAAATAGTTTAATCACAAAGCTAGTGGTTTTCCAGGAGACTGGGATGGATGGAGCCTACGCAACACCTGGATGGGCTTTGCAAAGAGCCTTTCATAGATTTGAGGCTCCCCTTTGTCCTGCCATCTGAGCCCAAATGGTCACGTGGCAGTGCCCGATGGCTGGAGGGGAGAAGATGACATTTCTCCAGAAGCCTCAGCCAGCCCAACAGATGGCCAGAACCTGACTGCATCCCCGTTGCAAATGAGGGACTGCAGTAGAAGAGAATATTGGGAGCTTGGGGTTGAAAAGTGGGGTCCTTGGGGCTCCCTGAGCTTGGGGATTTTCTTGGAGATGTTTCATGACCCAGCTAGGTAACATCATCAGTGCTAGAAGGGATTTGTGGAGAGCAGAAGGGGAGGGGGGAGAGGGGTAGGAGGAGGACAGCAACTGTGGAGTCCTTGTTGCTCCTTGAACTTGGTTGTTTTCTTCCAGACATTTCATCACCAAACTAGGTAACACCATCACTGCTACTGATGCTGATACTGAGCACCAATGGTGTTACTGGTTGGGTTATGAAATGTCTCACTGAGCAGTGGAAATTTCTCTCTGTCGCAGTCGTAAGTCGAGGACTACCTATATGAGCAAAACCAGTAGTATGAAACATTTCTCCCCCTTTGTGTGTGTGTGTGTGTGTGTGTGTGAGAGAGAGAGAGAGAGAGAGAGAGAGAGAGAGAGAGAATATTTCTTAAAACGACCAGTTTTATCCCTTTTGCATGATAAGAAGGAGTGCACCAAAAAGCAGAACTCCACCTTTCCTGCTTGCAGCCCTACCCTTGCTCGCCGCTCGTGGGTCACAGGTGTTCAAGTGAGACCTTAACAAATCCCCCAGAGAGTTCTGATGATCGTAGGAAAATAGTTTATTGAGCCTCTCTACCAGAGGGGAATCCAGTGCCACGGGCTTTCCTCTCCAAGATGCTACGCTGAGCTTCCGGCCTGGCCTGAAACTTCACCAAACGTAAAGTTTCTTTTCTGGCAGTGGGGCAGACTAAAGGGGGCTTGGCCCAGCTCCCCAAAGGGTAGGATGGAGCAAATAAGATAGTTGCATTGTGGGAACAGAACTGCAGGAGCCCTGGATTGCCCTAAGCCAGGAGTCTGCCACCTTAAATACTCATAAAGAGCCATTTGGACCCATTTCCCACAGAAAAGAAAACACCGGGGAGCCACAAAACCTGGGTTGGTGTGGCCAACTCAACGTCACTCACTCCCACCTTGTCACCACATGCTCTGGAATATGGTGTGAGTCTCCATCCCTTGCCCTTACCTTCTCAGGCCAGGAGAGGAGTGACAAGGAGGGGAGGGCCCGGGCCAGCTGGTGGTGGGATCAGCCAACAGGGAGCCGCAGCAGAGAGCCAAAAGAGCCACATGTGGCTCCAGAGCCGCAGGTTGCAGACCCCTGCACTAAGCCACCCGGCCAATTTGCAGGGAATTCTCGACTTACAACCATTTGTTTAGTGACCGAAGTGACAAAGGCATGGAAAAAAGTGACCGATGGCCCATTTTCCCCCAACGACCATTGCAGTATTTCCCCTGGTCACGTGATCAAAATTTGAATGCTTGGCAACCGGCTCGTATTTATGACGGTTGCAGGGGCCCTTCTGGGTCACGTGATCCCCTTTTGCGACCTCCCGACAAGCAAAATCGACGCGGGGAGGCCAGGTTCGCTTTTACGACCGCCTTACTAACTTACTACCACTTGCAGCGGCTCCCTTCACAGCTGTGGCAAGCGAGGTCCGTACAGTGGGGCGAAGCGCACCAAAGAAATGTTCTCACTTGGCAACAGAAAGTTTGGGCTCAGTTATGGTCGTAAGTCGAGGACTGCCTGCCCTACGTGGCCCTACCTATTTTTTTTTTGTGAATTTTTCCCTTTGGAATTGAAGACCCACATTCCACCAGTGGGCAAGTGGGCAGAGGTGCGTGGCAGCCCACTGGGCGTGGAATAAAATTTTTCAGTTATGGTTGGGTCACACGAATCAGCATGGAGTGGGGCCACTGGAACGGCCACCATGGCCCCTGGCGCCGGAAATGGGGGTAGTGCAGGTGGGTCCAGCTTGTCCTCTCTTTGGGAGGGCAAGACTGAAACAGCCACCCCAGGGGAGCAGCCCCCCCACCTTTCCTTTTCAGACGGGGGGTGGGGTAGCACATCTGTCCGGATGCTCACAAATTCTTCCAGCGTCCTCTCCGTTTCCGAGTTGGGGTGCCCTTCCTCCGCTTCTGTGCCGGAGGGGTCCGGTTTGGAGATGGCCCCCTTTCAGCCCCGGGCTCTTCCTGTCCTGGAGAGAGCTCCGACTTGGCAGGCACGTCCTCCCGAGGAGGGGCGGTCTCTGTGCCCGGGGCTGCCGTGGGAAGACCGTATTCCCCATGTGGGGGCAGCAGACCGTTTGGCAAAGCCGGCAGGAGGGGCAGCAGTGCCGCCACCACGTCCGTGAGCCGTTCCAGGCCTTGCCGCAGGGTGTAGGTCAGTTCCCGGATGGCTGTGGCCGTCTCCCTCTGAGCCTGAAGGATGTCCAGAGAGGGCTCGACAGGCAGGTCCAGGTGGGCACGTCGGTGCCGCAGAGGGGGCGAAATTGAAGGGCAGGGAGTGGTGCCCAATAACTCTCCTGGGGAGCGTTCGGGATGTGGCTGGCAGCCTAGGCAGGACGGAGACGGAGCCAGCTGGACAATCTGCAATGACGAGGGTTGGCCTGGAGGGGGTGCTGGCGAGTCACGTTCCTTGGGTTTCAGCAGGCACGAAGGCTGGACAGAGGTCTCTGGGCTGGCAGAGACGTTGGCCCTGGCGGGTAGATCTGTAGGGGCTAAGAAAAGAGAGTTACTGTGGTGGAATATGGTCTGGATTCCCAGGAGGGAGGGGCTGCATTTCAGAGGGGAAGAGGCAGTGAAGTTTAGATAGCTTGTGTGCTAGAAAGAGGTTGGAGACGGCTCCTCCCTAATGGCTCTCCAGAATATATCTAGAGTTATGCAAATGGTTAGTTTAGGCTCCTTGGTGCTCTCTGAGTTTGGTGGTTTTCTTGCAGATGTTTCATTGCCCAACTAGGTAATATCATAGAAGGCAAAGGGATTTCTGGAGAGGAGGAGGAGGAGGAGGAGGAGGAGGAGGAGGACTTGGGTCCTTGATGCTCCCTGAGCTTGGTGGTTTTCTTGCGGACATTTTATTACCCAGCTAAGTAACACTTACAGTGCTAGAAGGGAATGGGTTTGTGAAGAGGAGGAGGAGGAGGACAACTGTGTGGTCCTTGGTACTCTCTGAAATTGGTGGCTTTCTTGCCGATGTCTCATGACCCAACTAGGTTAAATCATCAGCCTCTTTGCCAGTTACTTCAGTCTGGCAAGATTCTGTCTGTAGATGGGGAACAATAACAAAAATTGCTCAGAAGTAACTCCACGTGTTGTTCTTGGGGCCTGACAGTTACCAGGCTGCTGGCATCTCCAACCAAGCTGCTCCTCTTGACACCACCCCCAATACAAAGGGGGCGCCATCCCTGACCTCCCGTGCCAACACGCCTGCCGAGAAATAGCACACGTGACGGCTGAGTTTCTCTAGCCTAGATGGATATTGCTGGTATACAGGGAAGGTGGCAGAGAAACCTCATGGGGTCGTAAGTGTGAAAACGGTCTTAAGCCACTTTTTCCAGTGCTGTTGTAATTTCGAAGGGACACTAAATGAACCGTTGTAAGTCGAGCATTATCTATAATGGTTTGGTTGTCTGAATTAAAAAAAAACGCTGGGGTTTATTAATCCAGCACTTTTTTAAAAAAAGAGTTTAAAAAGATTGTGGCAGAGTTTGTAAAATCTACATTGATTGAACTACATTGAGGGCTTTGGGCCACACAGGATTTTTTTTGGTCTCTTTCGCTGCAGTAAATTTCCTTTACCAGAAGTGAATATTTCATTTCCATGGGACTAGCCACAGCAGAGAGATGGACCCATCTGTTGCCTCTTTTCAAAATTGGGGGTGAGGGGAGTGTCAAACTTTGCCTGAAGCCCCTACAACTGGAAGTCTGGTCTTGCCCCACAGCCATATATGAAAAAAGGGCTTCCTTTTATTTGGAGAGAAAGTTAAAAAGCGGTTTATAATGGTCACAAACCAGCTCAAAACAAATGCAAAATTCAAATCGGCCGTTCCCAAACCACCAATAATAAAAATAATCAGGAGGATCCAGCGCTGTGAAACCTTAGTAGGAGTGAATAATTGAATTAGATTAATTAAACAGTGTTCGAATATTTGTGGGGTTGCCACAAAGAAGAGGGGCGTGTGTGAACCTCTTCTCCAAAGGCAGGACAGGAAACCATGGATGAAAACTAACCAAGGAGAGAAGCAACCTGGAATTAAGGAGAAACTTCCTTATAGTTAGAACAATTCATCTGTGAAAAAGCTTCCCTCCAGAAGTTGTGGGGGCTCCATCAGTGGAGGTTTTCAAGAAGAGATTGGACAACCATTTGCCTGAAAGAATAGTCTCCTGCTTGAGCAGGGGGGTGGACTAGAAGACCTCCAAAGTCCCTTCCAACTTCTGGAATTCTCTTAGATAAAACTATTTTTCCCCACCCACCCCAAATATTGTGCTTTTCCTTTGTTATACATCACATATTAATACTTGTTATTGTACAATTTTCTTGGATATGTATAGGATTTCGTTATTCACAATAACAGTATACCGTCTGGGTGCAATCTCTACAGTCTTAATTACATATTGATAATGAATCTTATGCATATGATTAACTGCTGTATAATCCTAGATACAACTATTCTATTGGCTTGTCGATGGAAGGGAAGCCCTTGGCTCATGTTCAGAGGCGCCCTGGCAATCCTGCCACCTTCCCTCGGGTTTAAGTTTGGGCCCTTCTTGCATTTATAAGAAACCAGCTCCAGCTGCTGGCAACTGTCTCCTCCCACCCCCTCCAGGACCCAATCTGGTCTGATTGCCAACCCCCCTCTGGGCAAGTTGGTCCAGAGTGTTCCTGCTCCCTGATGCCCAACTGACCCTTTGGCCCCAGGACCGTGGCTACTCACCCATGCCATGCTCAGCTGCCAGTGGGTGACTGGGCCCCCCAAAGCCTGACGTGCCCCGCAAGAGCCCCGATTCTGCCCCTCCTGGACCTGGCATCACCCCAGGCCCCAGGATGGCGAAGAGCGTCTCCTCTTCGGCCGAGAAGACCTCGTCGCCAGCGTTGCCCGCCCCCTGGGTGGAGTGGGGCACCCGTGCCAGCTTCTCCTTGGTGCGCCTCTTGAAGTCATTCCAGCGTTTCTGCACCTCCTGGCCGGTGCGCTTCCAGCTGGTGATGCTGTTGATCTTGCCGGCAATGCCCTCCCAGACCCGCCGGCGTTCGGCCACCGTCACCCGTCGGCTCTGGGTACCGTAGAGCTTGCCATAGTTGGCTCTCACTTCCTGGATCAGGATCTGGTTCTCCTCGTACGAGAAACGAGGCTTGCGAAGACGGGTGATCTCCTCACTGTCCCCAGACATCTCCAGCCACCGGATCCCTTTTTAAGCGGGGACCTTCCTGCCCGGCTCCTGGCAGTCGGGTGAAGATGTTGGGCACTGCCAGGGGGTCTCAGCTGGGGGCTGTGGGGGGCTGGCAGCTGAGACTGGTCCTGCCGCTCCAGGGAGCGAGTGGAAAGCTCCTTCAGGCATCGCTGGGGGCAGGAGCCTGGCAGCCTGTATGCTGGCACAGGGGACCCCCCTCCCAAGAAGAAAGCAATGGGAGGGGGGCCAGCCTGGCTGCTGGGCCCCCCTGTGCTTCACAGGATGCTCTCTAGGGCCACTCTCGCCTTCAGGCCTCCCAGCTCTCCATGAGTGTCCATGCAAGGCTGCCTGGCTCCATCTGATGCCAGCTCCTCTCTCACTTCCCTCCCTTCTCCTCCTCCTCCTCCTCCTCCTCTCTCGGGCATGCTCACTGCTTAGCCGCACTCCCAGCAGGCCATGGGGGCAGCCGGGCGGTTTCCATAGCAACTGTGGCCTGCTGCCTCCACCCCCACCCTCCCTTTGCCTCCTCTGGCCAGCCCCAAAGCTGCTGCTGCTGCTGCTACTGCCAATATGGAGCACCAGCAACTCTCTGGGTCACAAGCCCCAGCGGGGGGGGGGGGGGGCTCTTGGCCCCATCTCTTCCCCCCCATGGGGTAAAAAAAGGCATGAAAAGCAGAGCTTGGCACCCCCCAGTTCTAGGGGGTTAACCCTTTGAGGGTTGTGGGGGGGGGAGGATTTTGTCTTTTGCTTTTGCAGGACGGGTCTCCAGGTTCCCTTTAATCTCCTCTGGCTGATCTTCAGCAGGGACCAAGGTCTTCTTTGGTCCCCATTTCCCCATCTTCGGGGATCCTGCCAAGATGCTACGATAAATAATCAAATAAAATAAAAATTCGTTGGCCTGTTGTTGGGCAAACGGCCAGCAGGTGGCAGTGCCGGAGCAGACTAGCATGCAAACCAACTCAAATCTAGGCGGTGATCCCTGTTTTCTGTCATTTTAGATGTTATTAAAACTTACTGTAATTGCCCTTTTTCTCAACCGTGGCAACTGGACACTGCATGGACTTCAACTCCCAGAGATTCTGGCTGGGGAATTCTGGGAGTTCAAGTTGCTAAGGTGGAGAAACTTTGCCATGGTGTCTGCGTTTAACATGGTCCGCCTCACTCATAGACGTTAATCTTTTTAATAAATGCATTTTAACTTTGTGTTAAACTTTATTTTGCTTATTATTTATTAAAGATGGGTGGATGGAAGGAAGGATAGAGAGACAGATAGATGCACAAAGGTAATTCTCGACAACAATTGACCCCAAAATCTCCCTTGCTAAGTCAGACAGAATTGTGCCCTATTTTACGACCTTCCTTGCCGCTGTTGTTAAATGTAACGCTGCCATTGCAAAGATGGTCACACCGTCGTTAAGCGAATCTGCCTGTCCCATTGACTTTGCTCATCAGAAGATCACCAAAAGGGATCACGTGACCCCAGGACACTGCAAGCGTCATAACTACGAACCAGTTGCCAAGCATCTGAATAGAAATCACGTGGCCATGGGGAGGGTGCAATGGTCATAAGTGTGAAAAATGCCCATCGGTCACTTTTCTCAGTGCCGTCGTAACTGCCAATGGTCACTCGAAGAGGCGTTGTAAGCTGTTAGGAACAACCTGGATGGTTTTGCTCAACAAATAGATGTATAATTGTGTTGGATTGGAGTCTCTTTATCAGGTTTTAGGAGTTGTGCGGAGACAGATCACATTTCAGGCCCAGGTTTGCATACAAATATTTAAAATTCAAAAAGATTGATGTGAAGTTCCCCTCCGCCCTGGCTGTGCTTTCCTCCCACCTCTGCTCCGTGGAGGGCGCAGGCTTTTTGAAATTGCACAACCAACGTGGTGCGCGAGTGTGCATTGCCTCTTCTTTTCCCTTTGAGCAAAAGACGAATTCTCCAGCAAGTCTAGGAGGGGGCCAGGTGGACGGAAAGGAAGGGTGGATCCCTCAGCCCCCATCAGGGAATGGGGTGGGTGGGTGGAGGAAGGACGTGGTGGCAGCCCCCCTTGGAGGGTAGAAGATGGGAGGGGGGGCTCCTTGGGGGGGGGGCTCAGCTTCCTTTGCCTGGGATCAGACAGCAGGACCAGGGGTGGGGGTCTCTGGGGAGTTTGTGGAGCGGGGTGGGGGGGCGCGTCCAGGCTGCCCAGAGTCCAGATGTGTCAGCCGCGGACAATAGGCAAGCAGGAAAGGACAGACAGATGGGCTGGCCGAGACAATGGCCGGCCGCTTAACATTCAGGAGCTGTTCTCCGCTGACTTGCTGCCCCCCCCCTTCGCTATTGAGCCGGCCAAAGGCTGCCAGGATGAAAAGCCCATCTGCTCAAGGCTCTCCCCCCCCCACCCCAGGCCCCATTCACTTGAGACGCAAAGAGGGCCTGAAAGAGAGGCTGCCCGGCTTCTCTGTGCTGGGGGCTGCAAATGGTGTCCGTGGGGGGGGGGGGGGGGGGGGGTTTTCAACGCAGTTCTTGGCATGTGGATCTTTCTTTCTTTCTTTCTTTCTTTCTTTCTTTCTTTCTTTCTTTCTTTCTTTCTTTCTTTCTTTCTTTCTTCTTTCTCTTTTTATTTTTCCTTCCTTTTCTATTTCCACTTTCCTTCCTTCCTTCCCTCTCTCCCTCTCCCTTCTCTCTTTTTTCCTTCCTTTCTTCCTGCCCTCCCTCTCTGCCTCTTTTTTCTCTCTCATCCCCTCTTCCTTTCTATCCTACCTGGGGGAACAGAATAAGCTATTGCCTACCTACCTAGATGTCTGTGTATTCCAGCCCCTGTCAAGGAAGGGGCATCACTCCAAAGCGTCTTGCAGTGCCCTGGCCAAAGGCCTCCCTAGAATCCAGAGTGTCTGAATGGAAACTTAGGGTGCTGCCTCCCTTCACACAAACCCAACTTATTACACCGATTGGCGATAACCGCTGGGTCAGCAAAGAATGGCTTACGAAAGCACACCCCTAAAGACTGTGTGCAGAAGGACCATGCCCAAATATGAAAATGATTTTAAATAATAATAATAATGGACGAGGAGGAGGAGGAGGAGGAGGAGGAGGAGGAGGAGGTTTGGTTCATTGACATTGCAGTGCTTGGTGATGCACGAATTGAAGACGCGCAGCAAGAAAAAAATCACAAAGTATTGGGACTTACAAATTTAAGTTGAGCAACTTTGGAAAAATAAATCGGGTGTTATCCCAATTGTAATTGGAGCAAAACCTAAAGGGCTGCCTCGCTATTTGGAAATCCTGAATTTCTCAGACTTGAATACCCTGATTCTAAAAAAAACCCACCCTACTTGGAACATCTTATATCCACCAACGCTACCAGAACAGTTCCTGGGTCCTTGGTTAGGACTCGAGGTGTTGAGCTACCAACCAGCCCCAAAGGCTGTGAATCTCACTAAAGATATAATAATAATAATAATAATAATAATAATAATAATAATAATAATAAT